TCTTTTCTCGTTCGCACGGTGGATCGACGCGTCTCTCCGGTCTCCCCTCGGCGTTCACCGTTTCGCCGTAAACTCACCCCTGGAGATTCGACTCCGCAGACACCTCCGCAGAGTATTTCCACGTTTCCACCTTCGGTCCCGGTTCTGATATTTACGTTCGTCGAGCTGCAAATCGAAATTCATAGGCACGCCAACGATCGAGGACGAACGAAGGGAACTGGGTGCTCGAGGTTTGCGGAGATTTGAAAAAAAAAATAGGCAGAAAAGAACGGTCTGTCGCGAGTTAGGGGTCCATTAAAGGCTGTACACGGTACGGAACTTTATACCTGGCGCGATATAAACCACCGAAGCCTATAAAATCACCGCTGACAAGACGATGCGTTATGAAATACGGAATCGGTTGTATCACGCTACGTTTTTCTCTTTCAGGCTGATGGTTTTCTTCGTGGACCTGTAAATAAAAGGCCTCAAAGTGTACGGCGCCGTGGAGAAGACGTTCCACCCGTTCGAGCTGTGCAGCAGGTAATTAACAAACCAAAATCCACCGTATCGAGCTTCCTTTTTACGTAGGATTAGTTATTATTAAACTGGCGATGTTTATGCGCGATAAATATGCAAGAAGCGTACGCTGTTTCGTACGCTTCAAACGTGCAAAATGTGCAAGCAACTGCACACAACGTGCTTAACAGTACTTTCTGAAATTATTGTTACAATAAATTGTGGGCATTTTAAATTTGCCCGAGTTTGCATTGGTATCGACGCTACATATTTACGATAGGTGTTTACCGATAAACTAACGAGTCGATTCGACGTGGTAAATATTCCACGTAAGCACGACAACGATGCATTCCGCCATTTGGAACGTGCATGCGCCAAAGCATATCCATTATGCAAACAATGCAAACTAAGCAACGCGTTTCTATGATCTCCTAATTACATAATGAACACCTATCCAGGTTTTATTTCTTTGTATCTTCAATTTGCGAGACTATTTTCACGATTTCTGGTAGAAACACGCGTTACGAACGAAAGTAAAGCCATCGAACACGGTGCTTGTGCGACGCGTTGGATCGAGACATCGCGGTCTGATTATGGTTCCTAATGTTTCAGGCTTTCCCGCGTGTTCCAGCCGGGAACACTGGCCGGTATACAAGGTGAGTTGCGCACGGACGTGTTTTTTTTATTTTCTCTAAATCGATCACTTGGTCAGCGTTCGAAACTCGAAAACAACGAACGAAAGAACCGTTTCGCGCCTGGAAGATGTTTGCAGTGACACTTGGCAATCGACATTATAATATACGATACAAGAAGAGACAAAAAGAGAAGAAAGCACCAGCAGAAACGTCGACGAAACATTGTAGGCTACGAAGTGAAAAATTTTTAATTGCATGGTTCTTGAAGAAGCTCCGGAGACCTTGACGTCCCCGGGAGGCGCCTCGACGAGTCAATTCCCGACCTCGAAATCTCGAACTAAAAACTCGACGATAAACGTACCGTTTCCTAGGTACGGTACTCGCCGTAAACAGAGGATTGTATACAACTGCGTCGCACTAAAACCCATAGCTACTAAACCGCGCATACCACCTATAAATGGGCGGGTTGCAATAAAGTCCATTCATGATCGCGTCGCCTGTACAACAAACGTCAGGTGGCTCGCGCCTCCCTCGCGATTTATTGCTCTCGTGTTCGAGCGTGGCTTGGTGCTTCCTGCTTCCTACGCGTGCACGATGACAAACGATCATTTATTTCGGTCTAATGAGACGAACAACGAGCCCTTACAGTTATTAAATTACGACGAAATTTTAACGAGAACTCGCCATCAAATTACCAAAATTACTATCGCGCGTCAACGAGCCCTCCGAAAAACTGTTCTCGACGTCCGTTCTGTCACCGTTCGAGAACAAAATTAAGAGAACCAACTGTTACTTGGACGATTCTTCTCTTCGATTTTCCATCGGGACGTAAAACATTGACCTTTGTGTGTTAATATCGCGCAGCGTTGAATATCCTCGTAAAATTATTGCCTTGTCGATGTTCAATGTGCAACCGTACATCTCCAATTCCAATGAGGTGACTTTTGTTCTTCTGCCTCATCCTTGAGATGGCAACCGTTCGACTTGCCTCTCCGTGTCTCGTCTCGTTCGCTATCTACTTTGTACCCTGGAAAAAGGAAATTTTGATTCCGGGTTGTCCAGTCACGATGCCCGACGAAAGAAAGTTCGAAAAGCAATGGGTATAAAGAATGCACCGTAATTTCAGAAAAATGTGGTACGTTACACCGCGGCGATGAATTTTTCATAAACGCGTACATCGTACGAAGTAATAAAAACAGGAAAATCATGCATATGAATGAGAAAACATGTTTCTTGCTTCGAGCAATGGAACGCGCGAAGAAACTAGCCGGATAAAAGTAAGTTTTATTCATTACGTCTATATTTACACGCTATTATTAATATTTTTTTACCGTACTCTTTTACCGTCTCCTGCCGGTAAAAATTATTCTCAAAATTGTTCATCTTACTTTTATCAGCTACGAGCGAGTCGAACGTAATTACGCGACTTTGGTTCAGTTTTATATTAATGAACGGTGCCCCGTTCGAAAACTTGGACCCCAGCATTTTTGGGGAAATTTTCTCATAAAGTTCGGAGCTTTATACAGTTTCACGAGACGCTGAAGGCACCCGGTGGGCGATAAAACTTTTCTTCCGCGGCACGAGCCGCTCCCTTCTCGATATTCGACGTCGATCGCTCGTCCGGAGTTACGACGAAAGATTCTGCGCGCTCGGAGAACGGTACTGCGAAGTCGGTGCACGGAGCAAACGTCAGAATTCAGACGCGAAATTTATAGATTCCCCTCGAGAGCCTTCTGCCCGCCGCGTTATTACACCGATAATAAACCCGTTAATGGATCAATTACATAAGGACCAGCCATCCGCCGTTTATGTATCGTTCTCAGGTTCAGACACCTCTTATTGCCTTCGTTTATTGCGAGCTTCAAGTTCAGCTGTCCATTGAGAACGATCTAGAAAAAAATCCGTCGCTGTCCCCTCGTTAAACGGGCCTCGAAACCGGCGAACACGCTTTCGTTACGTTATGAACTTTTAAGATAGAGTTTAAGATAAACTTTTTAATTTGAAACTTCGTTTCTAAGTTTGTTGTTGTTGAAGTTAGAGTTGTAGTTTGAGGCTCCACTTTCGACTCGTAGGGCGCAGATAAGTAAATTATAAATCACCGAAGACCCTGGGAAAAACGAGCCCTCTCGAGAGGGCCACCCAAACATAGTATAGGACTATTGCGTTAAGCACTTCTAACAGGCAACGCCACTTGTGGTGGAAATACTCCCTCCAATCGATGCACGATTCTCACCATTACGAATAGAAATCGAGCTCGAATCGATTTTTCTTTAAAAATGGTGCACATTTAATATTTATTAAAGCTCAAATCCACATCCTATACTGCTAAATAAGTCACGTTTCCTCATCGAGAAAATCTTGTCCCCTTTCGATCGTGCCTCGAAGTCCAATCTTATCGATCTATCGGATCCGTTTGGCTCGAAAAGAAGACTAAATCGTATCTCCGTGTTTCGATCGGAGTTCAAGAACCTGTATCGGTCAATTAGAACCGTTTGCCCCTGGAAGATGGACGCGGTACACCTGATCCCTGGGACAGCTGATCCCGTAATGCCCCCGTCGATTAACGCGGTTACGCGCGTGGCGCGAACTAGCGGCGCGCGAGTTTGATGGACAGATGGAAGGCGTATGTGCCACCGGAGTTGTTGTCAGACCGTTTTACTTTACTGCCCCATAAAAGTACCGAGATTTAGACTGCAATACTGCCATGACGTATTGCCCGGCGTTCCGCGCGAGTATGCACGTTTACGCTCGCTCGCTATAAGCCATTGTGTGCGTGGACGCACGCACGGCCGAGAGATCGAGACGTCGTCCGTTCCTCCTTTCGCGTGTGACGTCACGCGAGAAGAATACCGAAGAACGTTAGAGGAACTTCGTCCACCGCTTTAGATCAGGCTATATTGGATTTTAATATTTCAAAAAATAATTTGGTCGACCAAAGTACCGCGCGAGGGGGGTGTCGGGTAGACTGCCTGTGGAAATTAGGACAACAGACCTGGTAATTCTAGTAATTGTCCCCCCGTCGGTAGACAAATAATTTGATCGCGAGTACAGGCAGCTGTTATTGAGCGAGATAATGGACATCGTAAAAGCGAACCCGTGATGCGTTTTGAGGGGATGACACGCGAGATTGCGGAATTCTGCCGAAAATATTGCACAGGGAGATAGATTACAGATAGATTTGTCGGTTAGCGGAGAGCGCGCCGTGGGGTTAGAAAGGAAAAAGGGAAAAACGCGCGGGAAAGGTCGGTGGCGCGAAAGGCCGTTCGATTTGCCTGTCGCGAGGGTATCGAAGCGTAGCGGGGAAGAAAAAAGCTTGTACCGGCGATACAAAAAGCCGGGAGGAGGACGGGAGAAGCACCTGCTATTCATCCATTGGCCGACGCGAATCCGGGTCAGAGTTGTTTCCCTTTCGTTTCTTTGGATCGAGCGTTCGTAAGTTGGAAAGAAAAGAAACGAAAAAAAAAAAGAGGCTCACCGAGATCGCACGGAGGCTCGTAGTCGGGCGATATGCTCGCGGGGCAACCCTCGAGCGTGTATGCGTGCTCGGTGCGTCCGTGGCCGCTGGTTCTCGCGGTGCAGTGGAGGGAGAGAGGCAGATTAGAGCTCGATGGGCGAGGGACGCGGGAGGCACGGGGGGCGGCAGAGCGTCAAGTGGTAGGGGGAAGAGAGAGACGTGTCCGTCCAGGGTTTGGTTGCCAAACGATCCGAGAGATCGCGCTCGCGTCGCGTTCAGCCCGTTTGCGCCTCCGAGCCGCGGGCAGAGCTCTCAGTTGACGCTCAGTTCGGCTCAGTGAGGCCAGAGAGAAGAAAGGGAGTCTTTTCGTGTGTGTAAACATCGCGCGTGTGTGTATCGCCGCGGCAGCCACGGGGACTGGACCTCTCTACCTGAGGAACCTTTAGCCGCGCGCTCCTCCACGATACGCGTCCAGGGGCCCGCTACCTGCCTTTCGGGGACACGAGGGGCCCAGAACGAAGAAAAAAAAACGGACCGGTGATCCGCCAACGTCCGACCACGAACGGTCCGTTTCTACTTTACCGCGGCGATCCGTTTGCACGGCGATCCCGCACGATCGGTTCGCAACGATCCAGCCCGCGGGATTAAACGGTCAAGGACAGGGAACGAAAGGAGAGAAGCGTTAAGGGACTGTTGACGAGTGGAGGAGGGCAAGTGCGCGCTGAATAGACGTGTCGCGTGTGCATTCGAAGAGAGTTATGAGCAGGGTGACAGTTGCCGTTGAGGAAGGAGACGGGACGACATGCAGCTCGAGCATGGCCTGGAGCGGGACAACGACAGCAAGATCGTTGGAGCAGTGAAAGGAACGTGGTCGTACTATTTGTACGACGCGACGCGTTCGATCCTCTTTTCGAGGGGACGTCGATTGCCAAGTGTCTTGACCGCGACATGTTCCAGCCGCGCGCTGTCCGTTGACTGTTACGAGCATACGTCGTCTCTGGTGACGTTCGACGATCGTCAGGTCGCGTCGAACGCGCGAAACGTGATCTACCGCCTCGAGGAATAACCGAGAAATCACGTAGAAACCGTACACGCTGCAATTTACTGCACTTGGGGTGTCCGAGCGACTGTTACTAAAAGCGTGCTGTGTCGTTTTGTTTTCATTCGTTCCAACCTCGCGTGTCGCGCGTCATCGTTGGAAACCTTTTGCTGTTGGACCATTGGGAAATCGCTCTCGGACGTACCATCGGCCGATTTCCATCGACGACGTCCCCGCACGTGGCCCATCAACCTCGATCAACCTCGGTCATCGTCTTGGACGTTGTCGCGGTTGTGGTGGTGGTGGTGGTGGTGCATGGACCTTTTCTCGACGGATTTGCTACGCATTTTATCGCGCCCCGGGGCGTCTTCGTTTTCCTCTTCTGGTCGTTCTCTTCCCTCTTTCTCGTTCTTGTTCTCTGCCGGTCCGCGGTGTGTGTGACGTCTCCCTCCGCCCCGCGCTTACCTACCCCTCCACCTGTCTGCCGCGCCGCTGCACACCCTCTCCTCCCTCCGTCAACCCTGCTCGCACGGCCGCGTATCCCTACGATTTTCCTTATCCCCACCTTCCTCGCGCCACCTCTGCCTTCCGCACGCGTTTTCTTTATTTATTCCGCGATTCCACGGAGCAACGCGACGTTACCGTACGCGATGATTCCCGCGTCCCTTCTTTCCACGACGTTTTGAAATCGCCTCGCGCCGTCACGGACACGGTATTTTGATCGCACGCTCGCCGTCGACGAATCCGTTCGGTGCTCGTCCGCTCTCGACGCGACCGTCCTCGTAAAATCCACGATAAAAAAACTCCCGCTTCTCCGTCGTCTTCGTCTCTTTCCGTTCCACCGCCTCCTCCTCCTCCTCCTTCTTCTCCGTCTCGTTCGGTCCGATCAACCTCGTCGTCGTCCGTCCTTGGACCGTAAAACGCAACCGCGCGAAACAACGATGCAATCGCGGTACCCGATCGCTTGGTGAAAATCGACCCGCGTCGTCCGGTGACTCTCGATTTTCCCGCGCGGTCGATCCCCGTGGAACGTCCGATCGGCGCCGATCGGGCCACGGACTCCTCGCCACCTACCGTCGACGTTAACATCGCCGGCGTACCGGGCATCGTCGTTATAACACCGGCAATCAACTGTCACCATCTGCACCATCGCCGATCACGTGGCTTGCTCGACGGCGACGCTGTACGACAATGTTCACGCCGCGCCGCTGTGCGGCTCCGGCGTGGGCCACCCTGGCTCCGTCACGCCGATGGGGACAGCCACCGGAGCGGGGAATTCCACCGGGGTGACCTGGTGGGCCATGATGAACGGTTCCCTCTACGAGGACAGCCCGCCACCGGTCCCACCTTCCGCCTCCAGCCTCGTGTCGATCCAGCAACAACAACAGCAACCGACCTCGACGCCTGGCTCGCACCAGCAAGCCACGACACCGACATCGCCTTCTGCACAAGCATCCTCGGCAACGACAGCGCCACCGGCACCAACGGCCAGCGCCAGCTCGACCTCGCCGAGCGCCTCCTCGGTGGCGAGCAACAGCGCGCCTGGTCCTCTTCACATACCCGCCAAGAGGTTGACCGCCACGCCGGCAGCTTCCTCCTACGGGGAAGTCGGCTGCGTCGAGTCATCGGCACCGCCCGCCGCTGGACCAGCGGGCGTCATTCGTCATTCCCACTCGTCCTCCGCTGGCTCCCAAGGCGGCTGGAGCTACAGCCCCCATCATCCCCAGGACTCGCACTACTCGTCAGCCGCGACCGCCAGTGACACCCTCAATCACCATCAGACTTACGGGGGAAACAATCCCCCGACCTACTACAACCTGGCGGCGGACCCTACCTCCACTTCCGGCTCCTCCAGGGACAACCGGAAAGCCGGCACGCTCAGCTTTTGGTCACCGGCAGCGGCCACCGCCGGATCGACCGCCACCGGCGGTTCCCCGTCCGATTACAAGTCCTACAACTCGGTCGGAGTAGCCTCCACCAGCTCCTCCACCGGTGGCTCATCGTCCGTTGCCACGGGGGCCACGGACCCGGCCGTCTCCTGCCACCAGAGCTTCTCCCAGAGCTGGTGCAACTACGCCCCGTACACCACGGCCAGGCATCATCACCCGGTGGACACGGCCGGTCATCATCATCCTCACTCGCAACCCGGGGTTCCATACTTGACGCCGTCCGCGGCGGACGACCGGGGCAGGGTCACTGCCGCCATGGTCGCCGCCGAAGGAGCCTTTCCTCACGACGGATACGGTGGCCTCAGGAATTACGGGGCACCGGAGCCAGTCACCTCCAGTCCGTACCCACCTCCAGGTAAGCATCGACTCCGTCCTCTTTAACCGCGTCTCTTTACTTTTTAGCCGGAGCCACCCTCACGGTAACGTATAAACTCTCGCCATTTTGTTAACGCAATTTCGAGTACTAGTTAAGGTACGGTCGCCGAGATCTTTCCTTGCGAATGGCCTTGGTCAGAGGTCTTTATCGTCCAAGATAGCGACAGGTCACGTGATCGTGCTCCAAATCCGTTTTGCATCGGCCTCGTCGACCAAAGAAGAGGGAAAATGAGCGGCAAAACGTCCGCGAAATTTAAATGCTCGAAAACCGTAAATAAACTGACCCCGTCGCGCAAACGGTCGAGTCATCGTTCATTCACGTATTTGGTCACTCTCTTTTGTCCCCACTCGCCGTCCTTTTCTCGGGGTCCCTGGAACCCATGAAACGTCGCATGAGCAACAACGGCGGCGGGTTTATTGGCGGCCGTAACTCGTAAACTCTGGCGTGCGCCTCCGATCAGCTGATCCGTTCCATGACCCGTACGGGTGTTCGGTCTTCTCCTACTAACGGCCGTTCTCGCTTTCCTTCCCGCGTACGCTGTCGCCTCGCTCTCTTTCGCCCTTCTCGCCTTCTCTTTTCGCCGCGAACGCGCGTTTTCGAATTGGCCATCGACGCTCTCGATGATCGATACTCGAGATTCCCGGCACCGAGAGGGTCGCGTGTCGAGTTTCGTCCGTCGAACGGAACGGAACGCGCATACCGGGCTGGCCGGGGGCGACGCGTAACGCAACGAGGCATAGATTTTTGCCGGCGATTGGCTCTCTCGCTGGCAGCAGGTAGAGAAGCTCGTCGCTCGACGGAATCGTAAAGAGTAGGAAAATACGAGACACGACGGCTGCTCATACGGGCACGCACGGCCCGATAAACGAGATATCGTTCGCGTGATCCTCTCGTCCACGAAGTTAATCGTATGCGTGGTAGGGGAGGTGCACGCGCAGGCGTGCGATACATACAAAGTAGGGGAATACGAGCGCCGCGTATAGTTTAACCGTGCACCAATAGATGGCAGCTCCATTATCTTTGTTCGTTCGTCTGGTATCGGAGCCGCGAGCCGCCTTCGACGTACCCGCGGACGACTCTCGGGGCCGCCGTCCACAATTTTCGAACAGTCGAGACGGACAGGTGCTATCGCGCGACCACGATACTCCATTCCGAACGACCAGATAGCATCTTCCTGTTCGGAATACGTCCTCGTCTTCTACGCGTCTCGTCGTTTAAAGACCACTTTCGAGCCCTCAACGACCGGTCGTTTTCTCTTTTTAATTTATCGCACGATTATCCGCCTCCTTTTTGGCCAGCTTTAATTGAAGCTCCCGCGTATTCACGGGCCTGATTAGGCACGTGACCTGAAACGTACGCTCGCGGATCATCGTCTGTCCGAAACACCGGGCTCGAATTTTTCTAGAGCAGCTATCGATCCTGATTCTGGCTAAGCTTGCAGTTAGGGCTAACGGTTGGCTGAAGGGCTATTCTTTTGTGTCTGTATTTAGTCGTAACGAGCAAATTTTCATTTATTTCTGTCCCATGTTCTTGTGAAAAAAATTCAGAGCTGCGAAGTTATTAGAAACGCGGACAAATGTAGGCTCAACCTGTTGGAGTTTTCTGTCGAGGGTAGTATGCGCCCTAGCCTGTTCACTGCTGAATTAATCAATACTAGGAGAATCCTATGCGCTGAATTAATTCCACAGCTTATTTTGTAACAGTCACGCTAATAAATGTACGGAAAAATTGAGGAGGCTGGTCTCGTAGAATTGTCTGCGAATGTATGGTATTTTCTTTAATTCGAGTAATATTGTTAGCCACGCTCGAGTATGTTCAAGTGCAATTTATAAAAGTTTGAATCTTCCATACTCTTTATGGCGTAGATCCGCCCAAGCAGGATTTTAATGCCCGCAATATCAATTTCGTTATACGGGAAGTAATTAACGACGTACAGAATAATGTTGTTGGAAACGCCATAAAGGTTCGCAAGTTCCTAGATCATACGATTCCGATGATTCCCACTAAACTGTACGAGCAAACTATGAATACAATAATTTTTTTTAATTATAATATAATGTTGTTTTCGTTTCCACTGTGTAATTGCTCGAACGCGTCCAGAAAACATGGAAAGAATATGCATTCCACCGATAACGCGTCGCCGCTGCACAGATCACTAAACATAGATAGCGAAATGCAAATTCTGACAATACTCGTTAACAATTCCAGAATTGTTGGGAAAGAACTTTTCCGCTATAACGCACAAGGTCGGGCTTGGATGATAACATCACCGACATAGGGGAGAGTTGCCTCGTGTATACTGGCCGCCTAAATCGTGCTTCTTCGCTTCCTTCGTTATTGCGGAGCGTAAGAAACATTCTGAATATATGAAATAACCCAGCAATAAAATATTAGACTGCACAGCTTACCCCCCACTGCTAAACCCAAGCTTACTTGTTGCTTAGCAACCATCCCCTCCAATTGTCAACATCACGCAACGAACGAGGCTTTCGTGAAACGATCGGGATCCTATCGATAATCTTGTTCTTCCGTTTCTATTTAGAATTTCTGGAGCTCGTTTTTTTCCCCAATTTTTTGTTACACTCTCCTTTTCTTCGAGCCCTTCTCCAGCCCTTGGTGTCTTACGTAAACCACTCGTGGCACCGTGTTTCTAGGGTTAAGTTTCCGTCAGTGAATCGCGTGGAAAGCGGAGGCCATCCTGGGGGTCGTATCTGGTCAGAAATCATCTCGAAACCGAGGCTCTGGACGCGTCTATATCGTCTCTCGTCGCTTATATCGGGTGTACCGTAGCCGTTCGTAGTTTGCGACGAGGCGTCGGACGCAAATCGATACGTCATTTATTCCCGCGAGTTTCGTGCGCGCACACGTTCCCCGTGCACGCTGACATTCGTGAGAATCCTGACCTTTGTTAAATAATTTGCATATTCTAGCGTTTTAGTGGGCAATAAATTCCTGTCGCTTAAGCAATCGCGCCGCGATACCCGCGGAACGAAACGAGACGAACGAACGCCCGGAGAAGAGCCTCCGCGGTGAGTGGACAGAGTGACAAGAGGGACGAGAGAACGGCGAAGGAAAGAGAGACAGCTTGAGAGGGAGACGACAGACGGAAGACTAGAGGATATTACGCGATCTAATAAGGGTGGAAGAAAAGACGAAATTCGGACCAACCCCCGGAGCCCTTCGTAAAAAACAGAACCAAGAACGTTTATTATATTCTCGCGAATTCTTCGACGGAAAATCGAGGAAAGGGGAAACGGTTTTAACGATGATTTACGCGCATTTGCATCTCGCCGGGGATCGTTGTTGCAATTGTAAATAATGCTTCCTATTTTTGGACACGATAACGTTTCGTCGGGGAAAGGACGCGCGAACGGCCCCTAAATTACATCGATGGTTTCGAGGTTCGATTGAGGTGGCAGGTGGAAGATTGCAAGTTTGTTGCGCTCGCGGTCGATTCGTTCGCATGCAACGATTTCTTCGCCACTCTTCGCCGTACTTCGGGTTAAAGATAGACGTACGGGACTCGGCGCTGTCGTAATCTCTTCCTTTCGCGCGCCTCGACAGCCAAACGCCGATGGGAAACATTCTTTTCCATCGAGCTGGCGGAAAAGCTAGTAACCTTGACAACTTCTTACGTAACTTTTTGTTCTATTTTTTATTCGACTTGCAGTCGATTACAATACATCATCGTCCGGTTGCTATATTCAACGCTGACCTTGCTGCGATCTCAGACATTTAATAAATTGAATCATATCAGCGGAATACCAACTTGCTACATAAACAACTCAACCAGGACGAGAAAGAAATTCTCTTAGATAATTAAGCTCTTACGCGAGACAAAAAAGTGTTACATCCTTGATTGTCGTGACTCAGCGTTCAAGTAAAAAATATACATATGCTCCTTGTAAATTTAAATTTAATTTGTAAATTGTGCTGTCACGAGCCCCATTATTTTCAAATATTTTTTTTTTTAAATTATTTAAGAAATTTCGCCCGCCTCCGGGAGAACGTGTAGTAACAGTTCCGCGTTTCGTGTTCAACGTTCGATGTTTTCCGCGCGGTTAGTACAACCGATCCAATTATATCATATCGGCTGGTTGGTCCGGTGTGGCGAACCCTCTGTGTCCGTACACACATGCGTGCGTCACGCACACGCGTAGGCGGCCTCGGGAACCGCGTGCTTCCAGCGTCGGGTGTGAAATTCACGATCCCGCGACCCCACGACCTTTTCCTTTCGAAGAAATTCTGTTCCGCCGAGGGAACTCGGTCGCTCTTGAACTTTCTACGTTTTGGAATTGTTTGTTTTTCGAGGTCAAGAGACTCCGGAGCAGACAAATTAGAGCCCAAAGGGTATCGCTAATCGACCGATCCACGTCGTTATCTTGGAATTTTAATAATTGGAGCACGATCGTTCAAACATTGGGAAAGATTAATTGTCTCTTTTTAAAGTCGTTATCGATACTCGAACAGCAATTATACATTGTAAATATGAAATTGACGCGTCTGATTAAACAGATCGAAGAGGTCTCTTGGAAAGAGAAATCGAGAGACTGCTTGCTTCTTTTACTGCATCGATCCGTCTCTATATGCGACGACGCGATGTCAACAGAGACTTCATTCGGAAGATACTAACAGTATTGCGTGTCTCGAGATCGACTAATGAATCGAGGTATTTGCTCTAGGCCCTGTCAATTCGTGAGAATCCAATAGCAATTCTGTGAGATGGAAAGGGAACGACTATGGTCATTTGTGCTTGTCCGTCGAGTATCGATAAACGGAGCATACCTAAAAATTCACTTTATACCGTCGCCATTCTTAATAAGAATTAAAGAGAGTCCTCGACTCGACGGGTGTATCTAATTAAATATCTAGGTTTTGTTTATTACCGGCAAACTAATTGTGTTAAGTGATGTGGGGTTCCTCCCCATCCTCGTTGTTTTCCGCAGGTTCCCTGGCGGGAGTCGGCGTCGGCGTCGGCGTGGCTGGGATGGGCGTCGGTTGCGGGAGCTCTAACCCCCTGGAGTGGACCGGGCAGGTGACGGTGAGGAAGAAACGCAAACCGTACTCGAAGTTCCAGACGCTCGAGCTGGAGAAGGAGTTCCTGTTCAACGCGTACGTGTCGAAGCAGAAACGATGGGAGCTGGCGCGCAACCTGACGCTGACCGAGCGACAGGTGAAGATCTGGTTCCAGAACCGTCGGATGAAGAACAAGAAGAACAGCCAACGGCAGACGCAGCAGCAGAACAACAACAACAACAACAACAGTAGCGCGAACAACGCGAATCATCACGCGGCGACCGGTAGCCATCATCATCCGAGCGCCGCGCATGCGCCTCCGTCGAGTCACCACGTGGTCGCGCAGGCGCACCACGCGAACGGTTCCGCGAAGCATCATCAGTGACCCGTGGCCTTCTCTGGGGTCGTGTTCGGCCATCATCATCACAACCACGGGACAGCGAACGGGTGTACCGGGACTGGGACCGGTACCGGAAGCGGCAACGGTCACTCGAGCCTGGTCACAGGTCACAGCCATACCCTTCACGCGCCCCAACCTCAAACGCCTCTAGCGACCCACGCAACCGGTGCATCGAACACCGTCACGCCTCCCACCGCCATCGTTCATCCTCACATTCACGCACACGCTCATCATCATCATCAGTTGGCGCACGTGGCCCAGCAGTATCCAGCGCTTCTTCATCAGACGCCCCATGGTCTGGCCGCCTGAACACCATCCGAAATGGCAACGGACGCCCCAGAGAAAACCTCGTCGACGAGCCGCCATCCACCCCCGAACCGGCTCGTCCACGGAACCCACTCGTCGTCGCCGGAGAACGGCGGCGGCGACCTACGCCCGGATAGATAGACACCCGCACGCCTATCGAACTTTGTTCAGCAGCTGTTCAAAGACTGCCTACCACTTGTAAGGAGAGATAACGTTTCGCGAGTAGTATATTATTATTATTATTTTATTATTATTATTAATATTATTATTATTACGAATCATCGTCATCCCCCATCGTCATCGTGGTTATTATCCAACGAAAGGAACACTGTTGTATAGAAGAGCGTGACTTAGCGGCGTCCTTGGAACGTCCATCAGCAGACTCTTTTTCCGCGTATCGGTGTCAGGTGTCGTCGGTCTTCTTCGAGTAGCGCGCATTATCGTATATGCGGCACCAAGCAATCTGTCCAATTCGTAATTCGGTAGTACTTCCTCCAGTTATACATATATATATATATATATATAGAGTAAAGAAAATTAGTGTCACTTAGTGTCTGTCCCATCCCGTGTCACGCCATCCCTCTTCGTTGCAGCTTGGACGAACTTTTCCCACCCTTTTCGTATTCCCTGTACCCTGATCCTCCCAACCCAGGTCTAAACTGCCCCCGAAACACGCGTATGTACGTTTGCACTGTCTTGCACTGTTCAGCTCGCTCAGTCTCGGGAACCGTTAGAGGAGATCGTTGGAAATCGCGCGGGAAATCGTTCGAGATGCGACGCCATTGGATCCCGTGGCCTACGACACTGCGGTCCACCGAGAATCGCCGGAGGGGTGGCTCGTTCGCTGCTGGGGTAAGTGCGTAGAAACGGAACGAGGTCGTCGAAAAGCGTTCCTCGGGGTTGGTTTGCACGCGTGGCGACTTTCTGTACAAAAGGGTTGGGTGTCGCGGATATGTTACGCGGCCCGGTTGAGTGCAACGGATCTCATTCTTGAACGCTACTGTCTGTGATTCCTGGAAAGTACTACGACGGACGTCGAGCGCGCGTTAGTCCAATTTCCTCTATATTTTCGCGGTGAATCGATCGTTTCGTGGGATCCAATGTGCTCCGTTCGTCGACAGCGAGGCTGGACAGTGGGACACAGATTCCGTGAACAATCCTGGTAAAGATTAGTAGATCCAAATCGCAGAAATTCGTTCGGACCGAAGAAACGGAAGGTTCGTTGGATCGCTGGTTGGATCGAGGTCGTCGAGACTCTAGTCGGCGATCCAAGGAATCCTGAGATCGGAGTTGGCAATTGGGACGGGTCCGGAGGAGGGGTCCTCGACGCGGTTGATTTGAAAACGCGATTTCGCGGACGCCTCGAACGGACCCAAAGCAACCATGCGTTCGGAGAATTAGTCTAATTATGTCCAGAATGTCGTATTCGTCGCCTACCAAGGATCGCAAACTAGTACCTATAATTCTTATATTATATGTAAAAACAAACGACTTAGATTTAAAGGCATACATAGTGGACTACCCTGTGGTCGACACCACCGCCCCGAGGCTGAAGTTAGGATCTTCGTCGCTAAATTATGGTGCGGTGATCGATTTCGACTCTGGAAGGGTCGAAGGATCACGATAGTTAAAAGTTCGAAGATCGATTCATATTCTTCTCTAGGAAGAGATACTGGATAACGTTCGAACAAACGGACCTCGGTTGTTAATCGTTTCGGTATTATTAGATTGTTAAACGCGAAATTTTGTTTTTTTTCTCGTCAGATCCCGCGTGTGTGTATATCTGTTGAATATCGATGTTCGCGCGTGAAACGCGCGTGCACCATCCATCGGCGTCGAATGTTTAAAAAAACGGTGGATGCTATTCGATTGTAATTAGTTGAAAAGTATCTGATTCGACAGAACTGATTATTGTTGAACATTGAGGATCTATTGCAGTGCCGCGAAAGGTTCACGGTAGATCGGGAAGAGCATAGTTTGAAAGAAAATTCTTAATCTTTTTGAGCTCGTAGAGTTTAGAGAACAGAAACCTAGCACAGTGTTTTCACAACTCAAATTCACTATAATTTACATTAATACGATACTTAAGCTTGACGTACACTTGTTTCGCCTGGAAAAATTCGCAACTGCGTCAGATTTTTGTCGTTCGAACCGCGAGCCTGAATTTTCTTCGGAATTCTCGAATCTTAAAAAGGTTCGGAGTGTCTCGGTCTACCGAATCTCGGATTTCAAAACATCAAACGACATCAAACGGTTGTTCGAGACGACGTTCCCTCTCGAATCCGACGACCTCGAGTAAAATAGATCGACGTCCAAACATCTGGGGACGTCGAAAATGTTCCGAGCCTCGAACGATACCACATATCCAAAGATTTTTCAGACTTCAAAAGATCCCAAGGTACCCTAGAATCGTTGATAAAGGGTGATCGGATAAATCCAACCACGGAAAATTCAAGACGAAGAGGACTCGGATTCGAGGAGGAACGTTATCCGGAACGGCCAGGAATGGATCGTCTCGGGAAGATCGACGATCGAAGGGTGCTCGAAGCGATCTCGGGAACGAAGCCCTAATCGCGGCCTCGGAGCGACGAAGGGCGAAGCGTTTACTACCTTTTAATTGGTACGTCAGCGAGTAAGTAGGTAATTTAATCGGATGTTAAATGAAAATAAATATCCCAGTGGATCTCTATTCTCTAAGGTGCAACATTGTCTAAATTATAAGGGCCGCTGAACGCGAGTGTGCATGCCTACGATATGCTATATATAAATGTACACATACACGCGTATTTTCTGTATGTACCTTGCCGTGCTCGCGCGCGTTGGGGACTTTAAACGGGGCCGTTACCTTTTCGCGTTCGAAGGGAACTCGATTGGTCGCTTTCCACTTTCATCAACTATGTTTCGCGCATTAAATTTTTAGTCGATCGCAACATACGAGCAAACATCGAAGAGGTCGTAATCATTTCATAAAACCGTGTAAATGTTTTGGTAATTAAATGTGATATTTTTAAGTTTTTAATAATCGATCTCGATCGCTTGCTTTTTAGGTAACACGTGGAAACGCGGTTTGTTTAATTGTTTGAACGATACGCGTATCGATCTCGAGTATGTTGGGGAACAGAGATTTCCTCGGTAGCTTCCAACTGATTTCGATCGAACCGTGGCGACAGGGGGCAGGTGTGCAGTTATTAAAAAAAATGGGAAGGAATCCGTGGGAAATATATTTGTAAAATTCGAGGTCTCTGGATGGAAAGTGTATCGCGGGAAAGCGGAAAGGTGGCGAGCTTCGGTGGAAAAATCGATAGAAGGAGAAAGGAATTTCTTAAAATCCGTGGACGCGCGCGCGCGCGCAGGCTCGTGAGTGCGTGGGTGCGAGGAAGAAAGAGAACGTGAGTGTGTGCGAGCAAGACAGAGAGAGAGAGAAAGAGAGAATGTCTCACAGAATATCCCCACAGCTCCGCAGGGAAAGATGAATAGAGTCGTGACAGGAGCGTGATGAATCGAGGAACGACATACGTATCGTATAATTAGACTAAACGTAAACGGATGAAAACATTAAAAACCGGAAACACGAACCACACACGTACACACGCGAAACAGACACACAGCCACCGCACGTTACCGAGAGATATTTCGGTCTCGGATTAAACGATAATATAGCTCTGCCAGGATTATCATTATGGGTAATTGTGTAACGACGACTAAATATGATACAGTGTAAGGAACGCGAGATAAACGAAGGGACGTGAGAATGGAGAAGAAGAGAGGCGGGAGATGCGCGAGCGTGATCGGTGTCTGCACCATTCGGACTTCACACCGCGAATCGATTGTAATTAGTTGCTAATTGTTCTGCTGCTGACGATGTTCATCGCGATTATTAAGATTATTACGATTATTATTATTATTATATCATTATTATTATATTATATTATTATATTAATTATTATTATTATTGTGACCGTCACGTTAATATTATGTTATTGTTTTTATTGTGTGTTGTTTTGTATGTACCTATCAGCCTTATAACGATCACGATATTATTATTACGACGTTGACGATACAAATGGATCTACATGCGCTCGTACAATTATACACACAAAGGACACACACACGGGAACACGCAGCTCTCGGCGAATACGCAGAGGAACACGGTGGTTGTTAGACCGTGCACGGATATTTTTTAATTCACCGCTAGCCACGCCGGGGGGCGCAACAATTCGTTCCAGATTCCCTACTTTCCTCTGTTATTTCGTTTTAAATGTTACTTTCGTGCCACGAGAACGTTATTAAATTTAACTCGTTCGATGAAAAAAAGCTTTAAAGCGCGCGTCGACGAACCGTCTACGGGGGAATTTTGCGATACCGATCCGAAACGATTCGTCGAGTTCTCGAGGTATCGAGACGATAGGTTGTGAGCGCGAGAGAGAGAGAGAATGCGTGAAAGAATCTGTGTTTGCGTGTGCGTGAGAGAGAGAGGAACGCCAGGCTGTCTCGTTCACCCGAAACGAAAAGAAAATGTTATGCATTGCGAGACCGCGTGTTTATTTTGATATATATATATTATAGATATATTCGAGTTGCTGGAAGAGAAGAAAAGAAATTGTTCTTGCGTTATTATTTTTGTCCTTTTTGTACATTGACGGCTAGGCGGTCAAGTCACGTTTTATATTTTCTCCTGGTCGGCGAAAGGAACATGTGAAGAGAATTACAATTATATTATTGTTTCATGCTCAAACATTGTTATTTTACTCGATCGACGTACCCCCGCGATCGGGTCGATTTCAATCGAACGACGAATACAAATTTCAGATCGATAAATCGATAAATCGGTTTATGAATTCAAATTTATCGCCGAGGTCTTTGAACCAACATTTGGACGCGAACAATGAATACAAATTTCGTTATAAATCGTTCTTTTTCAAATTTGTATAGTTTTCGCTCATTTCTTTCCCGTCGCGATCGCTATAGAGAAAGGGTTGACCCGTGCTATCGACCTTTCGATCGCAAAAGGTATGGAAGCATACCTGGTCGCTCCTCGACTCTAGGACAATGGTTCTTACCGCCTCTGTCAACAGTTTCCCCGGAAAGTCGATAACACGAGTGAACCCTAACGCGAAGGGAATAGGAACCGATAGAACGCGAGC